ATGTGGTGCTGAGGAATCGAACCCTGGGCCTCAGGCATGCAAGGCAAGCGCTCTACCACTGAGCCACCTTCCCAGCCCCTTGGCCTACTTTTATGCTCAAATGTCTCTTGTTATTTTGGAAGTCGCATGTCCACGTGTACTGTGAGCAATAAAACCCGGCAAACACATGTCTTAATTATCCTTCCAATGGAAAGAAAAAAGATATATTGAAGGCCTCGACCTCACCTCAGGACCCCAGGTGTGCCTGGATATATTTGTCCCCAGGTAAAACATTCTGTCCAGGTTTGACCACCATACCCGGTGCCAGAAAAGACACATGCTTCCTTGTTTGGCCTCATATAAAAGGCCTAACGCTGACTTCACCCTTTGTACCACCTCCATTCCCGCTGCAAGTGCGCTTTCCTACAATTCTTGCCTGTTGAGATCCAGTCCGACCTGGCCTGTCATCTCCATTTTCCTTACTACATACATAAGAGGTGCCATTTTTTTTTCTTTTTTTTTTTTTGCCACACGGCCTTAACTCACACCCAAGGGATGAACGAAATGGTGCGGGCAGAGTGCTTGCCTCACATACTTCCAGGCCGCTGGGTTCGAATCTTAGCCTGGAAGATTAGAAAACAACCGAAATGGGTCTTCATCTTACCAATTACTCAGGGTCACAAAACACATTATTCCCCCCACCCCACCCCGTGGTATAATATGATATTGTAGGGCAATCCTGACAAAAATTCCAATACTTGGTAGATAATAAGGCCAAGTTTATTTTTTGTCGGTCGTGGGGCTTGAACTCTGGGCCTGGGCGCTGTCCCTCAGCTCTATCAGTTCAAGCCTGGCGCTCTACCACGTGAGCCACAGCGCCACTTCCGGCTTTTTCTGGGTATGTGGTGCTGAGGAATCGAACCCAGGGCCTCATGCATGCAAGGCAAGCGCTCTACCCCTGAGCCACCTTCCCAGGCCCCCCACCCCATAAGAGCAAGTTTGGGAAGGGCAACTTCAGGACTAACTCCTGATCTCGTCATGGAAGCCGGGCACATTTTCCTTTTTTATTTCGGACACGTTTCCTCCTCCCAGCGGCCTGGACACGAGGCTTCCGGGGCCGACTAGGCCCCGAGACGCCAACTCCGCCTCCGTTCCGCCCGGATGACCCGCAGCCCCCACGGGGTCCCCATCCGCGTCCCGACTCCGGAGCTCCGGCCTCCGGGCTCCAGCCAACGCTCTGGCACCCGCGAAGGCCGCACCGACACCTGACTGGCTCACTTACCGGGATCCGAGCGCCGACGGCCCCCGCCACACACCGAGCGCGGCGCGTCAGTTCCCTCCGCAGCGTTCCGGCGCGCCCACCAGACGGGATGGCGCATGCGCGCCCACCTCCCGCTTACCCGCGTCGCGCGTGCGCACTTAACTGCCCAGGGGCCTCCGCTGCCTCTCTAGGACGCTGGGGAGGACTGACCTCTCCACTCCTCTCTCCCTAGGCCACCCAAGGACTGTACCTGAGGAAAATTAAACAGGTAGGTTTAATTAGATCGCCGATAAAGGGAACACCACACGGTGTCAGTCTTGCAACAAGGGGGGAAAAAAGAGATATTTTATGGGCTAAGTAAGCACTAGTGGCTCACTTCTGGAATCCTAGCTGCTCAGGAGGCTGAGAGGTAAGGTTTGAGGTTCAAAGCCAAGCCATGCAGGAAAGTCTGGAAGACTTGTACCTCCAGTTAACCATCACAAAACTGGAATTGGAGCTGTGGCGCAAAGTGGCCTTGAGCAAAAGAGCTCAGAGATGACACCCTGAATTCAAGCTCCAGTATGATTCTCCACCCCCTCCCTCAACAAAGATGCTTCATGGAGTCATAGCAGGGAGTTATCCAGTGAAAGTTGAGGACTTTGTGTGTCTGTGTCTGTCTGTCTGTCGTGGGGCTTGAACTCGGCCTGGGCGCTGTCCCTGAGCTTCTTTGTATTCAAGTCATGCACTCTACCTGTTGAGCCACACCACCATTTGTGGTTTTCTAGTAGTTGATTGGAGATGAGAGTCTCATGAACTTTCCTGCCCCGGCTGGCTTTGAGCTTGGAGCCTCAGATCTCAGCCTCTTGAGTAGTTAGGATGACAGGCATGGCCACCAGCACCTGCTTTTGTCTCCTACCTATCTGCCCCCTAAGAGTCATTGCCCATGTACTTTGTATCCTTGATGACACTGCCCTTCTGTTGCTAAGTAACAGAATCATGTCATTCTGGGAGACTGCAGCAAATAAGGACCTGTTAGTGCATTGTACAAAGAAGTGCAAAGGCCCAGGGCTTAGTCAGAAAGCCCTGTCCTGCAACGTAATGCCAGAAAAAGATCATATCATGGTCTTTTCCCCCAGAAACTTCAGTGTCTGTAATATTCCGTCTCTCTCTCTCTCTCTCTCTCTCTCTCTCTCTGTCTTTTTTTTGCCAGTCCTGGGTCTTGAACTCAGGGCCTGGGCACTGTCCCTGAGCTTCTTTTGCTCAAGGCTAGCACTCTACCACTTGAGCCACAGTGCTACTTCTGCCTTTTTCTGTGTATGTGGTACTGAGGAATTGAACCCAGGGCTTTATGCATGGTAGGCAAACACTCAGCACTAAGCTACATTTCCAGCCCTGTATTATCATTTATTATATCTATAGGACTTTGTACGAATTACAACCATTTTGAAACAATGTATACTATGCTGGGCCTTTTGCACTTTTTCACCTCCTTGATTATTGTCCTAGGCCACCACAGCTGGCTGGGCTGTACTCATTCTCAATAATGATTATCATTCTCTTCGTGACTGGTGGACATAAAGTGACAAGTTTGGGTTTTCTGGTGGTGGTGGTGGGTGGTGGTGGTGGTGTGTGTGTGTGTTTGTGCCCATGTGCATGCTATCTTTAACTCAAGGCTTGGGTTCTGTCCCTAAGATTGTTTGCTCAAGACTTGCACTCTACCACTTGAGCTACAACTCTACTTTCAGGGTGTTTTGGGTGTTTTTTTTGGTGATTAATTGGAGAAGAGTCTCATGGGCCAGGCGCCAGTGGCTCACACCTGTCATCCTGGCTACTTAGGAGGCTGAGATCTGAGGATCGTGATTCAAAGCCAGCCTGGACAGGAAAGTCTGTGAGACTCTAATTTCTAATTAAACACCAGAAAAATGGATGTGGCATTGTGTCTCAAAGTTGTAGGGTGCTAGCCTTCAGTGGAAAAGCTCAGGGAGGGACTGGGAATGTGCCTTAGAGTCTGCCTAGCATGCATGAAGCCCTAGGTTCGATTCCTCAGTACCACATACGCAGAAATTGCCAGAAGTAGTGCTGTGGCTCGTGGTAAAGTGCTAGCCTAGAGCACAGAAAGGCTCAGGGACAGAGCCCAGGCCCTGAGTTCTAACTCCAGGACCAGCAAAAAGAGAGAAAGAGAGACAGAGACAGAGAGAAGGAGGGAGGGAGGGAGAGAGAGAGAAGAAAGGAAGGAAGGAAGGAAGGAAGGAAGGAAGGAAGGAAGGAAGGAAAGGAAAGGAAAGGAAAGGAAAAAGCTCAGGGACAATGCCTAAGCTCCAATTAAGGGGCAAATTGCTGAAGTGGAGGTATGATTGAAGTGGTAGAGTGCCATCATTGAGTGAGTATCTCATTCAAGCGTGCAGGCCCTGAGTTCAAACCCTAGGACTGGCAAAAAAAAAAAAACACACAAAATGAGTTTACTCAGATCTAGAGGATCTTGCATCATTACCTAGGCTATACTTGGACAGCCTTCTGCCTTGAGTTGGTTCTGGGCCTATCTATAGTTAATACCATCCTGGCTAGTGTATGTTTACATTAAAAAATTGTCTACTCTTTTCCCTTTAACCATACTCATCATCTGAAAGTTGAGAACCAGCACTAGACATAACCGTATCTGCTCCTCCGTAGGTGTTGCTGGCCAATGAAAAATGAATGCCCTGGCTTTCTGGAACAGTCTCGGGTCCTTGTCTGGATGAAAACAAAAAACAAACAAACAAAAAAATATTAAGTACCTTTGGGGGGAAAAATCAAAACTTCCATTGGTCATTTCGAAGTGTAAATAAAATTTTGGATTTTTAAAAAATCATCTGACCCTGTGATCTCTGTGTGTGTGTGTTTTCCAGTTTTCTATTTTTTTAAATTTGACTCTATAGCCTTTATAAGGTGTAGAAGAACCATTTTTCTCAGTCTCTCACCGCTGAAGGATTTTCACAAAGTGTTGGAAGGTCTTCTTGTGAGGAATATTTTTTAACATTTTTTTCTTATCTTTAAGTAGTTGTACAAAGAAGTTCCTATTCTACAACACACTATATGGATACAAAGTGTCTGATAACATTGTCACCCATGGCTCCTTGTTAGGGATATTCTTAGAATGGGTTCTTGGGTTCCCATGGTTTCTTTGCCTTGGGAAATCTCTTGTGTGGTTTGTTGTTGTTGTTGTTGGCTGGTGGTTCGGCCCCTATCAAGGAATTTTCTCATTGGCTGGATTTCTAATCCCGCCCATCTCCGCCCCTTTTCAAGGAGGATGGTGGCTTCTCATTGGCTGGACTTCCAACCCCACTCATCTCTGCTCGACCCCCCCCCTCCGGCTTTCAAGGGAGTGTGGTGTGGCTTTTCATTGGCTGGACTTCTAACTCCGCCCATCTCCTCGGCCAATGGTCGCGCACAGCCTGTGTTACGGGCGGGGCCAGAGCGCTGGATGTCTTTGCAAGCATCTGGGAGCAGGGGCTGGCAGGGTAGGGGTAGGGTGGGGGAAACCACAGAGGCGCGGAAACTTCCAGATGCCTAGAAGGGCCGGAGGGTCTCCACGGTGGGGTGTGGTGGGGGAAGGGATTCATGGGGAGACGCTGACGCAGTTCCTGGTCCGTCTGGTTCCCAGAAGTTTTGTTCTGGTGAGCTCTGGGGGGGGGGGCGGTTGTAGGTGGAAGTGTGGGGGGGAGGGAACTTGGGGGCCGGTTTGTGGGGGGGCCTGGGGGTGAGATCCCAGACCGGGGGTGGGATGGGGTGAGGTCGTGGTGAACCTCTCCCCTCTTCTTTCCAGCGCTGCCTCTTTTGTCTTAGATCCAAGCCGGCTGGCTGGCTGGCAGGATGGATGGATGGATGGATGGCAGGATGGATGGATGGATGGCAGGATGGATGGATGGATGGATGGCAGGATGGATAGATGGATGGATGGATGGATGGATGGATGGATGGATGGATGGATGGATGGATGGGATGGATGGATGGATGGATAGATGGATGGCAGGATGGATAGATGGATAGATGGATGGATGGATGGGCGCAGAACTTAGATCCCCAACCTCATCACCATCCTCCTCATCTCCTCTCTAGCTTTGGGTCGCCATGGCAATGGCCTAGTTGAGGTCCAGAGCCCAAGTGGTCCCCAGGATGGAGTTACTGGAGTCCCCTGATCGCTGAATCTGATCATGGCTCTCTCTATCTCAACCAGCCAGGACTCTGTGATTCCAGGGAACATAGGCTTGGCCCAAGGATAGTCATGTATTTATTTTTTCTTCCCTCAAGTGATATCAAGCCCCTGCCCCCACTACAGGTTTCCGGTGTGCTACAACTTGGGGTCAGGTAGGGTCAGTCTGGTACACAAGACACAGAGCTCTGTTCTGGGAGGGAAGGTGATAGAAACAGGTTTGACAACTTTAGAAGCTTGAGTCTGAGCTCACCTACCTGGGGAGGGGGGGGCGCTGGAGGGGGGACAAGGTACGGAGTAGGAACCCAAAACATCATTTGAGGCCTTAGTAATTCTACAAAATGGGTGCTCCTAGGAGAACAATGCTGATGACCCTTTTGAAGTACCCGATTTCCGCATCGGAAATGTGAGGGGGGGGCATCCCTCTCACAGACCACCAGAGACCATGATCAATGCAAACAGCAAAAAGTCGTTTATCACAAGCTCGAGCTTGGTCCTGCATGCACTCGGTAACTGGTGATACTAAGAGGCCCTGAGCACAAAATCAGCATAGCTTTTATAGTATTGAACAAACAAGTTCACAAGGGAGTTTCCACACAAGCAGTTACATGATTGGTTAAAAATTGCATAGTACTGAGGTTTGAGTCCACCCTGACCGCGCTTCCCTTTTTCTGATGGAACACTTGGACAATTGCTCTGTTTCTTAAGGGTGGGCAGGGTTGGTAGCAACTTGCAGTTTTTCCGACAACTGTTTTTTTTTTTCTCTTTTGGGGTTAATCTGAGGGCAGCACCCCTATAGGTTGGTGGGCTTAATCTTAAAATGGAGTGACTTTAGCTCTTCATTCTCTCCTCTTCTAGAGCATCCGGGACCAATCATGATTCCCTACGCAGTATAGTAAATGGACATCTCAATGGATGTCCCATCCTG